ATTCGGTATTGAGAGCAGCCGGTCATGACTTTGGTAGTACGATTCCGTTTACTAGGTGAAGTGTGAAAATTTTGTACTTTGTGATCTGTTCTGATTATTTATTTGTTGAACCTGTGAGGGGTAGGTCGGTTTCCACCAATGGTGTTATTACAACACTAAATGTGCTGCTTCAAAAGTCGGATCTTTATAATTATGTTCAAGAGTAATTTTAGGAAAATTAAATTTATAGAGAAAATTTTGTAAATTTAGTCTCTCCAACATTACTCTTCTGTTCGAAGTTACTACACGTCCCTTTGGCCTTAGGATGCTACAGCTCTAGATTTTGGGTGTTGAAATGGATAAGAACTAGCTAGCTAGGGTTTTAAGTCTTTAATATATAGCACGGCATGCACATCGATACAAATATCCCCGTAAGTGTTTATCTTTGATAAATACACAAATATGTATACCAATAGGAAAATCTTCAAGAGTGCTTACAAGATCATACATATACAACCGAACATATAACTATTAATTCTTGAGATGAGTTGCAAATATTGATTACAAACATGCAAGAAAGTTATACATTTTCACTCTCTAAGTTATATTTGTTGTATTATTGGTTCATTTGTAGTAACGTATATGTAGTTTGAACCTTTGTTTACCTATAAATCTTATTTGACATTTATTTATACGACGATATATTTACAATAAGAGGTTGCAAGAATAAATTAGTATCAAATTCGTCATTAACAAGATTTGAACTTAAAACCTCTAATTTACAAGTGGATAGAAATATCTCTAGACCGTCATACTAAGTGATCATCCCTACCTAACACTTATACATGCAAATCTGACCTTGATTATATTACACATACAAAATTGTAATTCAAATTTGAAATTTCTTTAAATCAACCAATATAAATAATATTTTAAAAATATCAAGTTTTTAAAATTTTTATTGAATATATTAAACCATATATTCAACATTAACTTAAATTATAAAGAGATTTCAAATGAATCACCTAATTGTTAATTAACAAATAATTAGTAAAACCAATTTCATGAACATTTTCGATCATGTGCATCTCCACTCAAACTATTGTGTTTGAGTTTCGAAATCAATTATTTAGCATGCATTCATGTCATCCACGTACTTTATTGTTCATTACGTTAACATTGCATTGCATCTGAAATTAAAAATAAAGAGCTGTGTATGTTTGTTCATGTGAAATTTTAAGAATAAAAGTTAAATTCAACGTGTATACTGCAGCCGACCTTTGGCTTTGTGAGTAAAATAACGATAATATAACTGGAACCTTCTAATCTCTGCTAATCTAAAACTAATTAATTAATCACTCGATGATTAACTAATGCCCTTTTAAACAAGGCAAAGTACGTACCAAACATATATAGAAATGGTCAATGGGAGGCCATGGATGTGGCCCCATGTGATGGGCCAAGGTCACTTCTTCACTCTTAGGGCTAGGACCCACGTGGAAAATGAAGAGAGGATGCTGTCTGCCACGTGCTCAACACTGGCCCTACAATGTCGCTCACACCACCCAATAATAACTCGTTCACATTTGACTCTTTTATTCAATCCCATATTTAATTAGAGAGAGTTAACACCCTTTGTATTTTGTCATTTAATACTACGATCTAATGTTGTTTTTCTTTAATTGTAAATGAGAATTTTTAGATTCGATTATCGCTAAAGGCGAATTTGAACTACATTATTACTAAGTTATTATGAGGTTTTGCCCAATCCTCCGCCTCCTTAGTGTTGTTAATATCATTGGTTAAAAAAAAAACCAAACTTTTTATTAAATGCCACACTTCAAATTTGTTACGTGAGAAGGTCCAAATGCAAAGATTGCTTGTATTTTTTTATTTAATTTTCTGAAGCATATACAAAATAATGATATTTATTAATTATATATAATAATTCATCAATAATGTAATTCACCTTCCGAACTAGTATTTAAGTGATGATAATAATAATGTAGGCAGAGAAATAATGTTCCTGTCCTATCTCTACAAATCAGAGAGATGGAGCTGCTGCTGCGGCCCTTGTAGTTGTGGGTCGATCTGCTGAAGAGGATCGATATAACTGATCCCTTACCCCCACTGCAAGCAAAAGGGGCGGGTCGATATGTTTAGAGAGTTTAGTTTATCTGTAACTATTTTAGTTGTATTATTTGTTAGTTTAGGGATTGAGATATTCTGATTTTCATATGTGTCATTTTGTATCTATTACATTCATCACATGATTATGTTGTTAAAATAATGAGATATATTCTCAGTTTTAGCACGAATTGTATCGTTCAATGATACAAATTATTAGTCGTGTGATAATGCATAAATTATGAACGTGATTGACTCATAATTACTTACTAGACTCTTTTTTAGAAAGAATCCTAGAGTCATTTGGGGAATGGTTGAAGAACATGCAATGTGGTATATGTAGTAGCTAGGTCAGTGTTATATAAAACTGTGGTTAAGTTGACTTAATTTTGTCTAAAACACAAGTTAATTAGAAGAAATATAAGTTGGTGTCACGTCACAACACTACTTACAAATCCAGCTACTAAGTTACCGTTATTCGAATAACGAATCACTCATTTAACATATTAGCACAGAAAAATAATATCTCAAGACGCCATCAATAAAAAAATGTATCAAAATACAGAATATCTCCAAGTTGGAAAGAAGCTAGTTTTATTTCCTAATCACCCTAGTGCATGGAATCATGTTCATGAGAGGAGTCTTTCTTTTGTTTTTGAGAAATAATTTTAGCACAATCATTTTTCTTAGGCGTCTTAAGCCAAAATAGTCCCTAAGATTTGGCATAACTCCTAACTTTGGTCTCTGAGATTTGAAATCACTAGTACAAAAACATGTTTGCGCGACGAAAACTTGCGCGACGCATAAAATTACGTCGCGCAAAGCCGTTTTGAGCGACGTAGGTGTACGTACGTCGCGCAAAACGGCTTTGCGCGACGTAGTCCTTCGTCGCGCAAACTTTTGGCGCCAAACCCTAAGAATTTACCGCTTTTTCCCACCTTTGCGCGACGCATGCCCACCTACGTCGCGCAAAACAACTTTGCGCGACGTAGGTGGGCATGCGTCGCGCAAAGTCACCAACTTTTTTTTCTTTTCATTTGATCTATTTGGGAGGCAGAAACTACATACCCAGTTGCAGCAGCTACCTCCATCGCCCATCTCTCTCTTCAAAACAAGTTTGACGGTTGGATCGTTGAAACTAGTTTCGTACAATGCGTATCTCAATAAAATGTTAGATTCCCTAACACTTCGATTTTATTTATATTTTCATCAAGTATAACATAAGATTTTGTGGTATCCACTTGTGTAAATATTTTAAATTGACAATCGAATTAGTTCCTTGTATTCATATAGGATCCAGGAGTGTAGCTGTAAAAAATCATCAAAATCAGAGTTAAAATAACCGTTAAATTGTGATTTTTTCGTTTATAACCGTCGAAAAGTTTTGTCCCGTTACATGATCTCTGAAGGTTTGTTTTTTGCGATTTTTTTCGTATGCGATCTCGATGCATATACAAACAAGTTTGACGGTTGGATCGTTGAAACTAGTTTCGTACAATGCGTATCTCAATAAAACGTTAGATTCCATAACACTTCGATTTTATTTATACTTTCATCAAGTATAACATAAGATTTTGTGGTATCCACTTGTGTAAATATTTTAAATTGACAATCGAATTAGTTCCTTGTATTCATATAGGATTCAGGAGTGTAGCTGTAAAAAATCATCAAAATCGGAGTTAAAATAACCGTTAAATTGTGATTTTTTCGTTTATAACCGTCGAAAAGTTTTGTCCTGTTACATGATCTCTGAAGGTTTGTTTTTTGCGATTTTTTTCGTATGCGATCTCGATGCATATACAAACAAGTTTGACGGTTGGATCATTGAAACTAGTTTCGTACAATGCGTATCTCAATAAAACGTTAGATTCCCTAACACTTCGATTTTATTTATACTTTCATCAAGTATAACATAAGATTTTGTGGTATCCACTTGTGTAAATATTTTAAATTGACGATCGAATTAGTTCCTTGTATTCATATAGGATCCAGGAGTGTAGCTGTAAAAAATCATCAAAATCGGAGTTAAAATAACCGTTAAATTGTGATTTTTTCGTTTATAACCGTCGAAAAGTTTTGTCCCGTTACATGATCTCTGAAGGTTTGTTTTTTGCGATTTTTTTCGTATGCGATCTCGATGCATATACAAACAAGTTTGACGGTTGGATCGTTGAAACTAGTTTCGTACAATGCGTATCTCAATAAAACGTTAGATTCCCTAACACTTCGATTTTATTTATACTTTCATCAAGTATAACATAAGATTTTGTGATATCCACTTGTGTAAAATATTTTAAATTGACGATCGAATCAATTCGTTGTATTCATGTAGGATCAAGGGGTGTAACTGTAAAAAATCATCAAAATCGGAGTTTAAACTACCGTTAAATCGTGATTTTTCGTTTATAACCGTCGAAAAGTTTTGTCCCATTACTTGATCTATGAACCTTTTTTTTTTCGATTTTTTGTATGTGTGATCTCGAAGCATATACAAACAAGTTTGACGGTTGGATCGTTGAAATTAGTTTCGTACAATGCGTATCGCATCAAGTTAAATGGTATATATATTTATTAAGTAAATTTAAATTTAAATTTTTTTTACGTATAACACTTAAGAAATTAAATGATATGTATATTTATTAAGTAGCTACCAATTTATTAGTCAGGTTTTTATTAGAAAAATATATTATTGTGAGTTTTATGTAAAAAAAAAAAAAATTTAAATGAGTAAAGCCACATTTTCAGTAATTTTTATAATTATTTTTTTAAATTAAAAATACCTTGCGCGACGTGAATTGTATACCTTCGTCGCGCAAGTTTTGATAATTTTGGCGCAAGTATTAAAAATAAGCGCCAGTTTTGATAATTTTGGACTAAATATTCCCACGCCCTTCTATTCCCAGACCCCTTCTCTCTCTCTCTCTCTCTCACTCGGTCTCTCTCTTCCGTAGCCTTCCTCCTCTTCCCAGACCCCTTTTCTCACTCTATAATTTCCCTCAAATCTGCTTTCTTTGCTGAAAAGGTAGCTAATATGCTTTCTTTGCTGAAAGGGTAGCTATCGTATTGTTCTGCACCGTCGCCTGCACCACCGTCTCAGAAAAGTGAGCCAAAATCTCGCGAGAATCAGGCTGCACACGAGCGGATCCAAAGGCCAAACCTCCGATCTTGAAGTCGACACACCCAGAGGTAAAAATTTCTCATCCTCTCTCTTCGATTTCAGAATACTGTTATGGTTGGAGCCCCGACCCTCATTTTGAAATTAATCACTGAGATTTGATGAAAAAAGGAATATTAATTCATATGTATAAGTAGTTGAAAATTTTACATATTTGGTGGTTGAAATGATAAAAATGATCGATTGTGGTGTTTAGTTATGTCATTTTTAGTAGCAAAGTTTTGGACTTCTGAATGCAATAATGTTACTTGTTTCTCAAAATAGAATCACTGAGATTAGATGAAAAGGTGGTTTAGTTAGAAGAGTTGGATTATAGAAGCGAATCTGCTTTCTTTGCTGAAAGGGTAGCTATCGTATTGTTCTACACTCTAGTAGTTTTAACTTTTAACTTTTAATTCCTTTATTTTCTCCAATTAATCCATGGATTTGCATAAAGGATTCAAAATTTTGTATCCGAAGTTTGTTTAGTTTTTGTTAGTCTTATTATTGCAGGCACTATTATGGTCTTGCCTAACTATTGAATTTTAGTATTCAAAGTGGAGCAGTTGGTTCATTATGCCTCTTCCATGTCATTGCTTGGATCCTAAATCTTCCAATTTGTTGCAGCGTCCTTCTACCAGAATAGTTTTCCCGGTGTTCTCAATTACTGACCTTTTTTTTGGCTTTGCAGGATCATATCATATGGACGCCTGGCTTTTGGTTGGTCTTGATCCTAACTTTCTTTAGCAAGCTAGGAGTAACTTTTTCTTTTTTTTTTTCCTATTCCATTTTCAATGACCCTAATTTTTGCCTACTTTGCTTAAAGAAGACTATACAATTGTTTGTCCTAAATCCTGAAAGGTCGCTAAAATTTAAATACCCGTCTACATTTCTTAAAACATGATTTAATGGATGGAAGGTTAGAGGTGGTAAAAGGTGCAAAATAGTAGTTTTAATTCATTCTTGTGTTTCCAGATTGCAGCAGTCTCCTAATCTATTGGCTTTCGGTTCGCTGGTAATGTGATGTTGTCTCTGTCTTGGCTTGAAGTATCTCACTCATATGTATTCAATCTGAAAAGGTAATCCTAACTCTTGTTATTGTTTTCAACAACCCAACTTTTGCCAATTTTTGCTTTAGAGTGCTGCTTCTGTATTGTATTGGTATTAAGCTGTTAAAGTTTATTTATTTGAACTGAGGTATTCTATTTTGTTCTTTGAACCTCCATTATTTACTGAAGGATTATGCATCTTTTTTTGCTTTCTTGTTTAGTACATACACTTGCTCATAAGTTGTTTTTTCTCTGTTCTGAATTTATCTCCTCCATGCATCTCTTCTCTCATTGCATTTGCATGGGTGGTGACCTTTAAGTACCTTTTCGTATGCATTTAGTAATAAAAAGGAATTGGGTTTTTTTAGTTTATGGGATTGTGTAGGTACATTCTTGGACTTTAGAATTGGTTTTAGTGAATTGGGTTTTATTTGGTTTTGTGCAGGGAGAGCTTGTGCGTGCTTTAGGAGGAGTTGTGGCATCCACATCTCTTCTTGGAGTTCCTCTTGGACATAACTCCTCGTTTCTTCAAGGGCCGACCTTTGCACCTCCAAGGATTAGAGAGGCTATCTGGTGTGGGAGCACCAACTCAACAACTGAAGAAGGTATCTAATTATCTCAATTAGTAGCAAACTTTTGCTTCTCAAAACATTCAGTTTCGAGAAGATTGGCTACCCTGCTCGTGTTCTCATTATAATTTTTGTCCACAGGAGAGGTCAATTCCTTGAAGGAGGAAGTGACAACCCTAAGAGGTCAGGTTGCGGCCCAGGGCGAGAGGATGAATATAATTCTTCAGGCCTTAGCGATGTCCGGCCTCCAAATCCCGACGATGCCAGCACCTAATGTTGCTCCACCTTCGACTTCCCAGCCATTTCACCCAGACGATACCGAGTAGCATGATGTATTAAACTTAGAAGACTTGTAGTTTTTTATTTTTTTGTTCGGACAAACGTACATTTTCATATATTCTATAATTAATTACTTTTTCTTGGTTTATTAATTATTGTTTAGCATTTAATTATAATATTCAATAATTTAATTATAATATTTATTAAAAATTAAATAAAAAATATAAATGACACAAAAAAAAAAAAACTTTGCGCGACGCAGGACCTCCCTACGTCGCGCAAAGTAGCTTTGCGCGACGTAGATCCTGCGTCGCGCAAAGCTACTTTGCGCGACGTAGGGATGTCCTGCGTCGCGCAAACCCTTCATTCACTGCCTTCGTGCGACGGTTCTTGCGCGACGAAGGTTCGTTTCGCTAATTTTTGGGCGACGTATTTTTTACTTTGCGCGACGACGGTCCTACGTCGCACAAAGTCTTTTTTGTACTAGTGAATTGATATAAGTGGTCCCTGAATTTGTCCACCATCAATCATTTTGGTCATTCTGTGAAAAATCTCTGTTAAACAAGGACCAAAATGATAAAAAATACTTTCAATTTAATAAACAATGGGCCAAAATAATTTGACAAAACTTGAGTCATTTGGCAGTGTTCTAAAAATCAGCCTAGGTGGCACCTAATCGCTAGGGGATGAAGGCCTGCTGCGATTTAGTGCAAATCGTTTCGAAAATCAGTCTAGAGGTAGACAGCCCTAGGCAGGCTAGGCAGCTAGGCGGTTTGGGTTTTTTTTATTTTTTCTTCTTTATTTTATTTTATTGATTGTGTGTTTTTTGTCTTCTTTAGTTTCATGGTTGTATACTTATGAAAATGATGTACCTAATTTGCAAAGGATGACTATAAAGATTCTCTCATTGACTACAAGTTCATTAGATTGTGAGAGGAATTAGAGCACTTTTGAGGGGATACATACAAAGAAAAGGAATAGACTAGATACAATTTAGTCTATGTCTAATTAAATGCAAGGATTATGAACAAGAAGAATTTAGTCTATCATCTAAGAATACTCCTCATTATGATTATATGCTTAATGTTTTTTGAATGTTGAATTTGTTGGATACATTTACTTTATGTATTCTTCTACTTCTATTTTTGCATTTTATCGTTATTTTATTATCCATACAAGTATAGTTTTTTTTTAAGTGTAAATAGATACTTATTTACAAGATATACAATAAATTTACATAAATCCGCCTAGGCACTAGGCCTCTGCCCATGGCCCAACTAACACCTAGCGTCTTTTAGAATCTTGTATTTTGGTCTTATTTGACAGAGAGTTTTCACGAAATGGCCAAATGACTGACAGTGGACAAATTCAAGGACCACTGTTATTGAATTTAAATCTCAATAACCAAAATAAGGAGTTATGCCGATCTAATGAATCATTTTAGCTAAAAAGTCTTTTCCTTATGCGTGCATATTTATTTATCTTCTTATATTCATATTAGACTTATTCAATTCAAAATTCAAAATTAAATTAACAAGAACACATAAGAAGAGAAAATCAACGAGAGCGAAATAAAGTTCTTTCTTCTTTTTGTTTTTGTATTTGTTTTTGTTTTTTTTTGAAAAGGTTAAGGTATCCTTCAACCTAGAACTCTGACCAACAAAATGGCATCACTGAGGTGTAGGTCCAGGATTCTTTGGGAGTTTACATATTGGATTAGTTTCACTAAAGAAAACTAAGTGCCAATTAGTAGGGCCATGTGGCAATTGCATGTGCCAACACATGGCAAATCGATTGTATTTATTTCTCATTTCATTTAGTTTAGTGACTTAGACATGGCACAATGAGTGTCCATTAGTCCATATACAGGATCTTCTTGAGTTTGACACACACACATGTATGTGTCTATACATGAGTGTGAAAATATTGAGGTGTTGCCTCAGAAACTGTTGTTTTGCAATAAAACAATGAATGAGGATCCTCTTCGGAACCTCGGAACCTCTTTGTAAGGATCATGGAGATCCTCACATCGTGTCTGTTTATCGTATACCATGCAGTTAGTTTTTGTCAAGTATTGTTTGTGTTTAATTTTAAATAAAAATATTTAAAATGATTCATAATTGCATGATATATAATAAACGGACACAATACGAAAATTCCCGGGATCCTCACAAAGAGGGTCTGGAGAGAATCCTCATTCTAAAATAATTACGGAGGACTACATAATGACTGTTGTATAGTGCAGATAACTGTTCTTGGTCCAATATTTTGAAGGTTGAAAATGGATCGACGTAATATAATATATTGTTTTTTTTTAACAAAAATATAATATATTGTTAGACTATGTTATACAAGAACATTTTCTGTTAAGTATCTCTACCCTTCAAGTTAATATAGTTTGTATTAATCATAGGGATGAACTAACTATGGGGCTCGTTTGGCTTTTAGAATGATTGAAAGCACTTTCATCAAAAATACTTTTGGAACCAATCTTTAGTAAAAATACAAATGAATCATTGCTACAAGAAGCACATATAAAGCACTAAAAGTCCTTTTGGAACCCAAAAATAAGTTCACTAAAACCGCTTTCAACCATTTTAAAGTCACTTCCAAACGAACCCTATAAATTCTTTTGTCACATAATATTCCAGTTTTTATACCTCTAACCAACCTCTAAATTCATTGTTCCTTTTAATTCATTTCGTCAACCAAATAAATTAAACAAAGCACAAGCTTTTCATATGTTGGTTGCTCTCATGATGCGAACACTTAATTTTCGAATTTTATAAACGACAGGTGCATGCACATACAGCAAATATGGAAGAGAAAAAAGGAAATTTTCGAAGCAAACATACTCTCTGTGTTTCTCTCTCCTTTTCAGATACAATGTATCAACAAAATTGGCCCCATATCTTCATATAGTTATGCTACTTCTTTATTATATAACTATATAATATTGTATGTAACCTTATAATATGCATGATGATAATACCCAAGCTTCCTGGCTCGTATATATTTTTCTCAGTTGAGTCTTTTTTTTGCTGCATCACATAATTTTGTCACTCCTAAACATAGTTTTGTCACATGCATGTTTCAACTTCCATTGTTTATCATACTTACAAACTCCTAATGATTAACTCAGATTGTATAAATAAATTAGAGAGAGAAAGAGAGAGTAACTACATACATGGGATCATCAACTTCTAATCCAATAATCGAGAACCCCAACTAGAAAGATGCTTAATTAAGTATTTTAAAATGATAGATTATTTCCAAACTTCATTTCTTCCTGATATAACAATGTTTTTGCCGGAGATTTTTGACCTAGCTAGACGTCCCGACAATACGAATTTAACATAGATGAAAATGTATTCTGTGCAAGAATCCGAGTTAATAATAATATTGAAAGAATTCTTGGTTTGAATAGGGTTTCCAGTGACTCGAGATGCAATTGCAAGTGCTCATCAAATCATGAGTTATCTTTTGCTTAATGCTGAACTGAGTATAAATAAAGTAAAAGTGAACCAGATGACAATATTTAAGCAGGAATTTGAGAAAAAAAAACATCGGTATGTAAAAATCTTATTTTCTTTATAAAAATTCACAAGAATATATATATATATATATATATAAATAATATATTTTTATACCAGAAATACTTCTACTCTAAATAATTACTTAAGGGGAAAGGGGATGTTTAACCTGAAACGCAGCGGGTTGAAGAGAAAACCCCTAACCATCAGGGCAATTCACCTCTTACAAAACTTGGAACCAATTAAGTAGTGGAATAATAATCATGTACATTATTTTTTTTCAATCCATGTTAGTGCAGTTGGCTGTGTATATGCATGGGTTTCTGTTATATATAATACATGGGTTTCTGTTTGTCTGGTGCTTCACCAAATTTGGTTGATCAAGTTAAGGTGCCATTATTATTAGTAGGAGAAGATGCCCAGATCGTCAAATTAGGAACATGATATGATAAGTCCAAGAATTATCGATCTAATACACCTGCAGATAACCCTGCAGGCCAACTTGGTTTTTAGTTATTTCAGTTGCAAAACTTATTAATCTACCTTAACTAGCATGGAAGAGATAAAGTTTCACAAAATAAAATAATTTTTGAGGAAAAAATACCTAAATTTAAATGCCATTTTTGCAGGTGTAGTTGAAATAAAAGAAACCAATTTGCCATTGAATATTATGGATAAGTAATACCGCAGGCAAAGAGGTAAAGTCGCTTAGCTGGTATTCTCTGCAAATGCTGTTGATATGAAATAAATTTTATTATAGCAGTACTAAAACATGATCGAGATAGGATTAACTCGGTAGATACCGTTTTAAAGAAAAGACGATTCTACGGTATTATTAAAGGAAAGAGTATATATTGGTACCCTTTATTTTGATCAAATTACATGAAAATTGTCAATGTTTATTGTCTAACGTTACATAATAATAGTGGTAAGAGACTAAAAACAGCGTGTAAAAATTCTCGATTTCCAGTTTGCAACTTGGGCTGCTACTTGTATATAAACCTAAAAGCCAGATTCTAAATGGTTCTACATCCAAAGTAATCAACCATATGTCGCTTAATGAAATTATAGCTAAGGAAAACTTAGTAGAAGTAAAACATATATACTTAACATGATTTCCGTACCAAATTAAAAACTACGGAACGGATGTTTAATTTTGTTTGGGACCCTTGTTGTTGGATGATCATGATACTTCCTAAAAATCTAAAAACTTGAGTATGAAGAGATCAAATCTTCTGCACCTAAAATCTTTGTGATTGACCAAATCGAAGTAACAGGACAACATCGAATCAACTCTTCAATTATTTGGGTATGCCCTGCTTATGTCGCCATGTCTGAGATGTAACAAGTTGAGTTGGAATTTTGAATCAGTAGATGAGCTGCTTTAAAGTTCCCTCTCAATGACGCGCAGTGTAAAGGAGTCAGGCCACCCTATTTCATCAACTTCTTTTATTATCCCAGGATTTTTGGAAACAATAGATTGCACAATTCCTAAAATATTGATATAGAAAAAAATAAAGCCTGTTTGGTATCCTATTTGAAAATTTTTATCATTTCTCAAAATATTTCTTGAAAACAATTTTTTTTAAGACTAAAAAACTTGATTGGTTTTGCG